CTCGTATACTGTTTCAAAAATTAATAGTTTTGATGACTGGATATTGTGCATTCAACTCCAAGATCATACCTTGAAAGCAATTTTTGACAAACTCAAACAAAAAAATTGCGATGTAGAATTGAAAAATACATATATTATTAAAGACAATAGATTATACAGGAAAACCGCCGACAACAAGGATAAATTAGTTATACCTAAATTTGCAAGGTTTAATACTTTACAAAAATATCACGATGAAATTGGTCAGATTGGATACCGCAAATGTGATTCTTTAATAAAAAGTAAATTTTGGTTTAAGGGTATGACTCGTTTTACAAATATGTGTATTCGTGTATTGAATGTTCGTACATAAAAGACCAATATGGGAAGAAACACGGTTTCTTGTATCCTATCGATAAGCCCTCAAAGACCCTGCACACCTGGCATGTTGACCATGTGGGTCCATATGTCAAGAGTGTTGGCGGATACTGTTACATATTTATGATCGTTGACTCTTTTTCTAAATTTTCATTTGCCAGGCCAACAAAAACTACTAAATCAAAAGAAGCGATACATATTTTGAAAGATCTTTTTAGCATGTTTGCGGCACCCAAAAGAATTATATCTGATCGTGGTAAAGCTTTTACGAGTAAAAGTTTTAGAGATTTCTCTATCAAATATCAATTCAAACACGTTTTAAACAGTGTTGCATCACCTAGGTCAAATAGCCAGGTCGAAAGATATAACTTAACATTAAAATCGGCAATTAACACTAGTATAAGTGGCGAATGCGAGTGGTATTCTGTGCTTCCAGATGCAGTATGGGGCATAAACAATACTGTTAATACTAGCACAGGATTCACACCTCATAAACTTATGTTTGGTTTTGATCAAGCAAGACATGTGGACTTAGATCAAGACAATAGTATTGCAATAGATAGAGATCGTGACAGAGTAATAGTCAAAACGAAAATGGACAGACAAGCAAAGAAAATGAAAAAGTTGTTTGACAAAAAAAGAAAGCAAGCACCGAATTTATCGGTTGGTGATCTGGTACTGTGGAAAGGCAGCGAAACTTCTCAGAAAGAAGTCTCGAGAAAAACAGGTGTCAAATTTGGTGGGCCCTATAGAATATCTAAAGTAAAGGAGAATGATCGATATAAGATAACGTCTTTAAAGGGCATGAAAGTGTATAAGAAATACACAGCAACAGTACCAGTTGATCAACTGAAGAAGTATAAAGGAGGAGTAATATCAGACAGCGAGTCTGACAGTGAGATGAACAGTACTGATGAACTGTTAGACTTACTTGAAGGTTAACACGAAGAACAAAGAGATATGTAGAGCTCTGAAGAGCATAAAATGAAATGATCATTTAAATGCGCTTGAAAGCATAAAAACATGAAAGTAGGTGGCAGAAGAGCTCTAAAGAGCATAAAAAAAGTATTTAGGGGATAAAATGAAATCTGTTGAGAATCATCAGAATTACCCATTCTAATAATCTGTTGTCGCTACAACTACTTTTGTCTTTTATTTTTCCAGGACAGGAGGGCGTAAACTACATGAAAAGAAGCCGAGGACGGCTAAGTATCAGGATGGCCGAATGTAACGAAATTACTCAATTAGTGATTGGGTATACATTACATTACATTATCATTATTATTGTTATCACTATTTTTGTTGTTATTCAAGCTGTTATTATTCAGAACAACGGAAGATCATTTACTTACCTTGTCACAATATGTCATCTAGATACCTATGATATAAATTATTATTATGTTATGGTTTTTTTCATCGTGTCTTTCTCTCTATTTATCATTTTAGTTGATTAGAATTGTACATTTTAGGTTAAGTGTAAGAGTAGCCTTTGGCTAAACTGCGTCTATTTTGTACCTTCACCAATAAAGACGATTTATTATTATTATTATTATTATATCCCATTGAATCATTTCTTGGATTCATATTAAACCACTCGATATCCCTATATGTGCGTATATGTATTTATGATGTTTAATGTAATTATATATTTTTGAGTATTGTCTTTATTGCATGGTCAATTATTATTAAACTATTATTGAGAAGAGTATGTCAGTATTCATGGAAATATGGATAATTTCACGATTCTAACCGATGCGTCTCATTGAAACTGTATGATAATATAGCGAGTTAATTTCAAAATATATTCATATTTTGCCATCTATGCTTCTTTTTTCATTTCATGAAAGTACGTTGTTCAATATCTCATTTGTTTTTATTCATCCACAATTACATAGTATATTCATCATTAAAAAATATTTTCGATCCAGATAAAATAGAAGATGAGCTTTGAATATCGCAAGGTTGTATTTAGTTGTAAAGTTATACATTGATTCTAAGAGTCATCAATAATAATTCTCTATTTGTAAAGATATGAAGTTATCTAGTCATGTCCTCCAACTATTTCTTCATCTATGAACTTTTGAAATTTGGTCCTGAACTTATGCTCAGGGTCGTAATGGTCACAAAGTTCATTCCACCATTCACGCTTTTCTTTGTACAGTTTCCTTCCAACCTTCTTTACCGCCTTCTTCTGTATTTCACTACATTTCTCACATGAGGTTTCCATAGCGTCCTTGATACGTTCTAAAAAAATGAAGTGCGAATTAGGGCATTTCATTACAATAACTATACAATTTTTACAATAAACGGTAGCTACACGGAAGCTTCATCATTTGATACCAGTCTAACTGATGAAGATACCTTGTAGGGAATCGCGTCCTAAACGCTAATAATCTCCTGAAGACGCCAACTTAGTTGGCGAAATCCGCGTCGAGAAAAGTATTAAAGTTCTAGTGATTGAAAAAAATATTTTTTTTTATTCATTCTACGCCTATGGTATCAGTTTTACCTTTTTTGGAGTGTATAGGTATTTGTTTCATACTGTTATTATTCAACTATTTTGACCAATTGGTATACAATTGGTCTGAACTGTTTTTGTAAAAATTGTATTTTTCTCAGTTCTCACCCTTAGGTTCCAAATCTGTTCATATTTTTGACGATGATTGAAACCTTCATAATTCAATGGTCAGTTTCTTTAGTATTCAATAAGAAACTCTGTCAACTGCTTACCTAGTAGGCTACTTTCGCAGACCTCTGTTGTTTTGTGTTATAGAAAAACAATGATATCATTTGAATGGTTAGATCAAAATACAATTGAATTTGTTTATATAGACATATTTCCATAGAATAATCAAACTCGTTTTTGTGTTCAAATAAATGAATCGTAATCAATAGATCACATATTCTTTTGTCAAGGAATAACTGCATACTTTATCGTAGAAATGAATAAAAACCTGTATACTGGGCATTTCTATTCATTTGATGCCTGAAAACAGATATTTTTTTATAATTGCAATGAAAAACAGGGTCAGAAACGGAGGATTACAGTATTTGTCTAGATCCAAAATGAGTTTGAAAAAGTACATAGTCTGCAATAATTTCTGACCTTTAATTTTTTACAGAGATTACAGAGACATTTTTCAGACTCTTTGATACAGTGATACAGGTCCTCAACAATTGAAGATGAATATTTGCAGTGATGATAATATTTTGTTCTGATCTCAATAACTTCATTGAACCGATATATTGAACCACAATAGTATTGCAATAGATAGAGATCGTGACAGAGTAATAGTCAAAACGAAAATGGACAGACAAGCAAAGAAAATGAAAAAGTTGTTTGACA